ATTTGGGGAGCCAGCTACATAGCTCCTGCACATCTGTCATGCACATCTGTACAGGCATCAAGCTAGCCATCTGCAAGGAGAGAAGAGTTGAATTTGTCTCTGGATCACGGTGTGTGGAGCAAAGCATCGGGGCACACCTCTTCCCACCCCGCACGGCAGCCTGGCATGGGGTCAAAGATTGGGCACAGACCGAGAAAGGGGGTGCTGTTGCACTGAAGGGAACTTCCCAAGGGATGGAGCACGGTGCATTTGAGCAAGGCGACGGATTAGGCCATTTGCCCGGGGAAGCATATCAACACGCACTGCTGAAGCCGATGCAGTTACCGGAGGATTTATATTTGCAGTTTACATTTGAAAGAAAGGTCGCAGGAAACCAGAACACCTGTGGAGATTGGAGGTCAGGATCAGGGAGCAGCACCAGCAAGGCTAGGAGACCGGGGCTGCAGGTCAGGATGGAGGGGCACCATCGCAGGAGCGTGCAGAGCCGCGGATGGAAATAGCAGGGGGTGACGAGGGTCAGGAACGAGGGGCTGCGGACGATGTGCGAGGAGGGACCCATTGGAGTAGCAATGGCACCGCCAGGCTGAATGAAGGAGCTGGAAAAGCAAGGGTAGCACGGGGCTGGTTTGGGTAGGCGGGCCTGAATCACACCAGGGCACCAACTGCTCCTCTCTGGCTCTCCTCCTCACCCCCACTCCGAGCTAAAATTCACCCCTGCAAGGACAGAAAGAAGCACGAAAGCCTTAACGAAGAGTGAGGGTTGCCTTAAACCTGACCCGCAGTCAAACTCTCTGAGGCTCAGGAGGAGCGTGCGTCCTCTGGACCCGACAACGGTCTCCTCCGCAAATTCGCCGGGGCCAAAGCTAGGCAAGTCAGTTCTGTCTGTCTTGCACAAGTCAGTGTGTGTGCAAATCACTTCTGCACACTTCCCGTGTGGCCTCAAACAAGCCCACTTCACCTCTGGGCCTCAGTTCTCCCTGGTAAAATGGGTACAATAATCCTTCCTTCCTCTTCTCCTCTGTTGTCTGCCTAAACTGTGCATCTCTAGAGAAGGGGTTGACTCTAACTCTGTGTGTGTACAGCGTCTAGCATGATATGGGGCGGGGGGGAGCACATTTCTATATGCTGCTGCAATGCAACCATACGCTAGAATTTGGCTCCAAGCATTTTAGCAAGAGAAGCAGGGAGAGCGGGTACCTAATCCCCCTGCTCAAGGACTCCCTGGGCTTTTTGGTGGCAAGGTACTAGGGATATGAAAAGAAACTGGCTAATTCATGGAAAGCTGCAAGGAAGAGAAGAACGTCCTCCTCTAGCCCTGGGCTGGATAGCGGGGGCGTCCGGGGAGCGGGAGGCAGGTAGGCCGGGGTGAGATTTCCCCTGCCACACAATTGCTGGCCCGCCACCTCCGTAATCCAGCAGCCTGTCAGGTGGGTGGCTCTGCCGTTCCACCGCGCCGGGATGAATGGGTTTTCCCTGGATTGACAGTTCCCTTCTCGCTCCCGATAAAAGACCCACAGGCAGCGGAGAGAGAGCGCGCTGACTGCAGCGATGCTACACGAAGCGTCAGGCCCACGCAGCTCCTGTACCTGCGATGCCAGCACCGTTGCCACCCAGGTGAGTCATGCCGGGGGAAACAGGCTGAGAGAGGGTGGGCTAGAAAGTGGGTCACAATGAGGACTCCTTGCTGCTGAGATGGAAACAGTCCTGCCCACTGAATCGTTTCAAGCAGCGTCCTGACCGGGGCAGGTCTACAGGAGACCCTGCACCTAATCATGCAGCCAAGCTGGAGCCTAGTGTTAGATACTCCAAAGCAAGCTCAGAGAGACCCACATGCACAGACAGGCCCAGAAAGAAAATATAATATAATTAAACCCAAACGGAGTCTTTCCCTCGAGCTGCTCCACAATCAGCAAGGGCCCACCCCAGGTAGGGCATGCAGGAGCTCATGGGGTACATAAACCCCCTGCCCTGAGAGATAGAGAGAGGGCCTCCAGCAGGGAAAAGCCTCCCCCAGGGCAGCAGCGGCCAGTGGGGATTTTCCTGCCCTTCCTTTTAAATCTCATTTCTCCCAGGCAGGCAGGACTACAAGCTCCAGACCAGCAAAAGAGGACACCGCTTATAGAAAGCCCTGCTACTTAGCATTTGGGGCATGCTCCCCCGCAGAAAGCAGCTGTGCAAAGGTTAGCACCGCAGTGTCGCCTTGGTGGCAGCATCTTATCACAAGTGACACCACCAGCAAACAGGTAGACGGAGGAAACCAGACACCACGCCACGGTATCGACAGCGAGGAGCGCATCACACACTCAGTGAACAGAGACCGAGCAGCCAGAGCTCCTGCTTGCACTAGGAGGAGTGTAACAGGGGGCTCACCCTGGTATGGGGGGGATGGACCACAGGACAGAGCCACAGGGCTGGGTCCCTTTAAGCCAAGGTGAGGATCTTTAGAGCCAGAAAGGGTGACGAGAGGCAGCTGGAGACAAGCTGCAGACCCAGCCCTCCTGGAGACTGCGTGCTGGTAACGAGGACCTCCTGTGCCGGCTGCACCGGGTGGGATCAAGTGAATGGAAGAGGCCCAGAAACATAAAAACCGGTCTCTGGCTGCCAGCAAGGAAGGAAGACAAGCCAGGCAGGGGAAAGAGGACTGATCACCCTCAAAAGGGAGAGGGGAGTTACCCCTGGAGCAGGCCATCAGTGCCCCGGGTCATGCAGGGAATGGACCTGAAGACATGGGGATCTCGGTGGCGGTAAGCTGCATGGTTTTTTTTTCCCCTTTGTTATCCTTATGAGCCCAAGGAGGGCAAAACTTTATGTGTGGGATGTTGCTGGCAGCCCAAAGTGGCAAGACAGTTCGTTAAAAATCTCTGTTGATGACGAGAGGTGGAGGCCGCACGGCAGAGCGCTGATATGAGACTCGGCAGTAATTAACCCTAAAGTTCACACCACCCCCGCTTCTCTGGGGTGAAGCAACCTCTCCAAGTTATTTAACACCAAGGTGTGGGTGGCAAGTGGGAGAGGGGGGCGTGCAGGGCCAGCTGTGGGTTGCACCCCAGCGGTGCCCCCATAACGGGCAGGTTGGCAGTGCAGCCTGCTCAAAGGGATTTGCTTGAGCCAGGAAACCATGCATCCCACGCAATGCCCAGTTCCTTGACAATCGGGGCTGCAGCCCCTGTTCTGCATCAGATGCAACGCTGCAGAACGGCGTTAGGATGTGTGCGGTGATACCGCTCCATTACGTGCTGATGCCGGCTCAGCATCAAGCGAATCTGATGTTGTGCCATGTGGAGCCGTGCCACCAGTGCTACCTGCGACACCTGTAGCTATCCCCACTGTTGCTTTGGCTGCTAACACTAACGCAGAGTGAGTTTGGCTTTCTTCATGTGACACCCATGGCACGTTTTCCAAAGTCAAGCACATCTGTTGAGTGTGTGCGGTGTGTGGCTGAGCTGCCCTGGCTTTGATCTTTCACCCCAGGACAGAGCTGGCTTCCAGCAAGAACCAGACGCTCTGTGAGGCTGATATAAACAGTTCTCATCTTGGCCAAGACAGGGTGGACTAGGATAATGCTCTACACTTGTATAAGGCAGTGACATTTGTGACATTTGTTCTCTGCCATCATTTTATTGCCCTGAAAAGATCACCTGGGGATAACTTGGGGGTTACAGTGGCCAATAAGTGAATATAAGCCGGCAGTGTGCCCTGGGTGCCAAGAAGGCTAAGGGTATCCTGGGCTGCACTGGTAGGAGCATTGCCAATAGATCGAGGGAAGTGATTTTTCCCCTCTATTCAGCACTGGTGAAGCCACATCTGGAGTCCTGTGTCCAGTTTTGGGCCCCGCAGTACAGAAAGGATGTGGACACATTGGAGAGAGTCCAGTGGAGGGCAATGAAATAGTTGGGGGGCTGGTGAGGGGAGGCTGAGGGACCTGGGATTATTTAGTCTGGAAAAGAGAAGACGGAGGGGGGTTGAATAGTAGCCTTCGACCACTTGCAAGGTGTAACAAAGAGGATGGAGCTGGGCTGGTCTCAGTGGGGGCAGATGACAGAAGGAGCAATGGGCTCAAGCTGCACCAAGGGGAGTTGAGGTTGGATATTAGGAAAAACTTTCTCCCAAGGAGGGTAGTAAAGCACTGGAACGGGTTACCCAGAGAGCCAGTGGGATCTCCATCCTTGGAGGTTTTTAAGCCCTGGCTAGACAAAGCCTTGGCTGGGGTGATGTAGTTGGGCTGGTCCTGCTTTGGACTAGATGTGACCTCCTGCGGTCCTTTCAACCCTCATTTTCTATGATTCTTCCTGACCAGAGCTTGGAAATAAATAAAGTTGAGACTGTCCCAGAAGCATCCACCCCTAATTTAATGAAACCCAGCCTGTGCTGGGACAGTGGACGTGTTATATTGCCAGGTGGCCAATGAAACCGTACTCCATTCCCTCAACCATACCTGTCCAGATTTGCAGTCCCACCGCAACACGGCCCCCCGTTTTGTGCAGACCCTTCCATGCATGGGCATGCCATCACACAAGTGTCAGAGCAGCCCGGATGACCGAACCGGTCACCAAAGCAGGGGACGTGAGTCAAGTGAGGTGCCCCTGTGCAAAACAGGGCAAATTTGCACTGGAAGCTGCAGGCTGAGAGCCCAAGTCGGCCGAGCTCTGAAGCAAAGACTTCCTCATGAAGGTTGCCGGTGCCTGGACTGCAGGACCGAACCCTTTCGGCGTGAATGGCGGGCAACTGGTAGCAAAGTAGTGTTGCTGGGCACAGCCTCAGCAACCCCCCTGGCTCAGCGGTGAGGGATGACCTGACTGGCTGTTTTAGGTCTGGCCAGGCAGTCATCTTGTGCTTGCATTTGAAAGCCCAGCCCAGGACTTCACTCATTCAGCAACTGAAGAAACAACGGGGCCCAGAAGCCTCAGTTTAAAAACACAGGACACTTGTCAGACCGGCTTCTCCTCAAACCCCAGTCCCCTTCCGCCACCTCCGTGTCGGTGGCCAGGAGCTCGCCTTACCTGGACGCCGCGATCTCCGCTTTCTGCTTGGCGATGGTGGCCGCCCTCTCCGCTGCCTCGACGGCCCGGTCGACCTTCTCGCGGATCTTGCTGGCCCGCAGCGGGATGAGGTTCTTCCGCTTGCCGCTGACCAGGACGTTCTGCTTGTACTTCCCTTCCTCCTTGGTGCCATCCGGGAAGGTCATGCAGCCGTAGCCGTGGCGCTTGTTGTTGGCCCACTCCCCCTCGTACTTCAGCCCGTCCGAGCGCTGGCTGACCCCGAAGCCCGACCGCTTGTCGTTCTTCCACTCGCCCACGTAGATCTCGGTGGTGGTGGCATCGATGTCGTCCTCGATGACGGACAGCTCTGCCTCACCTTCTCCCAAGCTGATGGTGGAGTTGATGTCGCTGGCAGTGGAGCTGACGGTGCTCATGCCCGCCTCGCTGCGGAAGGAGCTCTGCTTGCTCCGCTGGCTGGCCAGGGAGCTCTTGGACTCAGACTTGCGCAGCTTGAGCCCGCTTAGCAGGGACCGCCGGAAGATGCCCTTCTTCTTGCTCTTGAGGATCTCGGCGTCGCTGTGGGCCATGAGGACAAAGCCGCCCCTGGAGACGGCGGGGCTGCCAGCCACCGCGGGCGAGGCATCGGGGTGCAGCGCCGTGCCGTTGGTGTGCTCGCTGCGCAGCGAGTTAATGGACGTCCTCAGGGGCGACCTGATAACCGCAGCCATGCCATAGGGAACGCTCTGCCGGACACCGTAGCCTTGGCGCATCCCGCCGACCCACTGGCCCTGGTATGTCCCTGTGAACAGAGACCAAGAGAGAACAGAGAGCTTGATTTACAGAGTACCCTGGGGGGTTAGGGGGTCACATGCAGGAGCACAGCAATCACCGAGCTACTTATTAGGGGGGAGCCAGCGGGGCTGGAGCAACACATCCAGATCCATGCTTCTGCAACCCCAAGAAGCACGTTCAGGACAAGCCCATCTCCACGGGCAGCCAGCACAGTGAGGAGGGAAGAGGACGAGAGACCTCCATAAAGTTTTCGGGATGCATTTCAGCCGCAGCCCGGAAACAACAGACGCTGGCTTGGGCACGTGGGGCCATCTTTTGCCATTTTTTAACACTATCCATGCAAAGGGAAGCAAGTGAGGAGTTGGAGAAGGGGAATTATTATCTGAGAGGAGGCTAAAATCCCCTCGTTTTGGTAGCCTAGTTCCACAGGGATCAAAGCTGGGCGATGCATAATAATGCACTTATTTATATACACAGTGCCTTTCATTCAGAGAGCAGCAGAAGGAAGCAGCCATAGAGAAATACAGGCCACATGTACGCAGATGCATTTGGTTGTTAAGAGTCCGGGATGTGTCCTCATCTGAACTCCTGTATTTACATGGGCATTTACCACCGTTCCTTAACTAGTAGGCAGAAGTCTGTATCAGGGCTTGCCTTAATTGTAGCTGTAAATGTACATGCAAGCTCGAGGGCCTCGGGGGTTTAAACTTATGCGTTGGGAGTAACTAATCTTGCCAGAAAACACAAGACGTGGTTGACTGGCAGTCCCCAAAAAGGCACAATACCTGTATTGTGTATTCAAGCTTCCAATAATCCACCCTCCAAGGAAGTGCTGTGCTGGTGCTCTCCTTATGCCCCGAACTATTGGGATCAACTTGCTTTGCAGTTTCATCCTCATCACTTGAACTGCAGATTTTGTTCTTTGAATGGCTTAGTCCCTTTTTGGACCCAACCCTTCAAAGCTGGCTGTGTGACACTTCTGGACAAGTGTCACACGAGTGCCTGTGTGACACTTACGGACAAGAGTGCAAGCCCCTGGCCTGGCCAGCACTGGAGTGGTAAGGTGTGTAAGGCGGGAGCACAGTTTTGCTAAGAAGCCATCCACTTTCTCTGAGAGCCAGATTTGGAGACAGGGAAATCCTGGGGTGTCCTTTAGTCCCTCCTCTGGAGTTGACACAGATCTGTTCCCTATCATGCATTTTCTTTAAGGAAATAACTAATATCTAATAGCAAGGATTTCTGCAGCATTTCACCCCCTATAGTTGCAAAAGGGAGGCTAAGGCACATGGATATTGGGGCTTATCTTCCCCTCTGCAGTGCCCAGCTGCCCTTTGTACCCCCACTGAAAGTTTCTGATGGAAGATGGGCATTTTCAGAGCTGGGACCTGCTTGGGCCCAGCTGCCTTGGTGGAAGGGGAAAGGGCCCACATTTGATCTGAGAGCATGGCTGCCCAGAGAGCTTTTACAGAAGGATCTGCCAGGACTTACAGACTGATCCAGTATTAGTCATGCCAGAGGCACAGTTAAGCCAAGAGGCAAATGCTAAGGTGGTCCAGAAGCAGCTCCTTGCCGTCTGTGCACCTGGAAAACAGCCTGCCCGGAAAGCCCCCGGGAGCCGCGGCTCCAAGCAGAGACGGCGAAAGAGGCAGGCAGGCAGACGGGATTTACCGAGGGTTTATAGGATTAACATAGGGAAGGTTAGGATTATGGTGGGGGCATGGAAAGGTTTTAGGGCTCTCCTAGTGGGGCTTGGGGGGGCAGGGAGAGGAAGTCACTGGGGGTCCAAAGAGGGAGCCGGCAGGATGGGTCTGCACACGAGGCAGCTCAGAGAAGGATGCAGCAGGCCCTGGTTTGTCTGGCTAAATTACACTCTCCCGGGCAAGTAGAGAGCGGGCAGTGCCCTCTGGCCATGTGCCCTCCATCCCTTCGTGCCGCTTAGGCTAGGGGCTGGGAGCTGGGCCAACTCAGGACCATGCTGGTCTCTCTATACCAATGGGGAAAGGTCCCCGAGATGGGAAGGATTCGTGGAGCCTGCTTTCTGCCCTTTTCTGGCTGCTTTAAGCCACCAGAGGAGCAGAGGGACCTCAGCAGGGGAGAGACTGGCCTGTTGGTATCAGGCTGTGGGGGCTGTGGCAGAAATGCCCCGTCGGTGCCCCTCTCCAGAGATCTGTCTCAGCCGGCCTGAGAGGCTGCTGTTGAATCCCTCACAGCGGGGATCTCCCACCTTGTCTGCAGACAAAAGCCTGGCGCCTGGGAGG